GTTACCTCAGGTGTGAGATCTTTCTTGTGGTGAAAACATGTATGGATGTACCAGTGCCCAGGGCTCCGTGGAAGCACAGGAAATCCTCCCACCTTGCCTCACACTCTCAGAGGAACTTCGAAGAAAAAACTAAGGCCAGCTAAAAGCAAAATGGCAAAGGCTGGGTAGTGGAATTGTAAAAATGTGTGAGGCGAGGTGTCTATGGAGAGGCCAGCCAGGCTTGGTTGGCACCTGCCATGAGCCAGCGCTCTGTGGGTGGTTCCAAGCTTCAAGTTCCCAAGCACTTGGCCCCATTCAAAGGCAGGTGGGCGGCTTGTAGGGGTGGTGGCAGGGTGCAGCCCCCCATTGGGCCTGGCCAGCCCAAAGTGAAACTGGGGAAAATAGGGAGTCTGCCGTCCCTCATTTCCTGGGAGGTGATGGGGGCCCGGGAGCCTCGTGGCAGTCCTGTGACATCTGCTTCCTCTGCCCTGTTTGAAAGCTGAGAAAATCAAGGCTCAGAGGACCGAGGAACATTCCTGAGTCACGTGGCTGGCAGACAGCAGGGCGGCCTCGGAGTCCTGCCCTCCGTGCCTCGCTCCAGGTGCCAGAGCCTGGAGGGGTGAATGCCGCGGTGCAGCCCAGGCAGCTTTCAGAGCGAGTCTGGCTGAGACAGGTCTCCAGGCTTTGGGTCCTGGCCCAGCCCTCCAGACACTCTGCTCAGGGCCAGGCTCCAGGTTCGGATGACTCTAGGAGGTCCTGGTGATGCAGGTGGCATGCTGGTGCCGTCTGCGTGTCACTTTTCACACCTGCAGCCCCTGCTGTGCACATTGAGTGGCATCTGTGGAGAGTGGCTCTGCCGTCCCTGGGGCTACCCAGACCAGCCGAGTCTATGTCTACAGTCTTAACACCGTCCCTGGTTCGAGGTAGGCCTCTGTTCCACGCCGGGGCCCCGGGAGGGAGGGTCCCTCCAGCTGTCCCTGATCCGAGGCCGCTGTGCTGCGCTGGGAAGATGGGGGCGCCTGGCCCCAGGCAGGAGGGGGCCCGTTGCGGGCTGCAAGGTGACTCTGCACAGGGATGGCCCTTGATGGAAGCCGGGCTATAGGGCCAACACCCAGGATGCTACCAAGCCCCTCTGCTCCCAGGGAGAGGCTGGGCATATCTGTCTAACCTCAGGGGTGGCAGAGCTGGGAGAAGGAGAAGCTGGGGACATCCCCACTTTCTGGCCTCTGCCCCTCTCTGTTCCCAGCTCCTATTCCCTCCCACGGGACACTGACAGGCCAGTTCTGCATAATTTGACCATGTTGGGTCCCCGTTTCCCTGACCGTGTGTCTGGCGAGGGCCAGCTGCTCTGTCTCATTCATACTGTGTCCTCCCACCCTAGGGAGGGGGCCGTGGGGCTGACAGAGAGCCCGGAGGAGCTCGGGATGGACCCGAGCACCTCACGGATACTTGGAGGCTCTTGTGGGACACAGTGTTGGCTCTGATGGTCCAGAGGCACATTGTGGAGTGTTGGTGAGAGGACATGGTGAGACCCTGTCCCTGGAGATGTCCTGGCCAGGGGATGGGTGCAGTTTGAGGTCCTCTGAACCCCGAGGATCCGTGATCTTCAGAACGGGGGTCACTCGGGGGTCTCGGAAACCACGAAGGGTGGCCTGGATGCAGCAGCACGGGGGAGGGTGGGGGGCGTGTGAGGAGGCCGTCCAGTCCCTTCAGCCAGGCTGGAGACTGAGGCTCCTCCTGGGTCCTTTTCCTTCCCTCCTTCCACGGTGTGCACACCCAGCCTCCAACACAGACCCGGTGTCTGGTTCCCGGCACAGGGGCCCGTTGCGGGCTGCAAGGTGACTCTGCACAGGGATGGCCCTTGATGGAAGCCGGGCTATAGGGCCAACACCCAGGATGCTACCAAGCCCCTCTGCTCCCAGGGAGAGGCTGGGCATACCTGTCTAACCTCAGGGGTGGCAGAGCTGGGAGAAGGAGAAGCTGGGGACATCCCCACTTTCTGGCCTCTGCCCCTCTCTGTTCCCAGCTCCTATTCCCTCCCACGGGACACTGACAGGCCAGTTCTGCATAATTTGACCATGTTGGGTCCCCGTTTCCCTGACCGTGTGTCTGGCGAGGGCCAGCTGCTCTGTCTCATTCATACTGTGTCCTCCCACCCTAGGGAGGGGGCCGTGGGGCTGACAGAGAGCCCGGAGGAGCTCTGGATGGACCCGAGCACCTCACGGATACTTGGAGGCTCTTGTGGGACACAGTGTTGGCTCTGATGGTCCAGAGGCACATTGTGGAGTGTTGGTGAGAGGACATGGTGAGACCCTGTCCCTGGAGATGTCCTGGCCAGGGGATGGGTGCAGTTTGAGGTCCTCTGAACCCCGAGGATCCGTGATCTTCAGAACGGGGGTCACTCGGGGGTCTCGGAAACCACGAAGGGTGGCCTGGATGCAGCAGCACGGGGGAGGGTGGGGGGCGTGTGAGGAGGCCGTCCAGTCCCTTCAGCCAGGCTGGAGACTGAGGCTCCTCCTGGGTCCTTTTCCTTCCCTCCTTCCACGGTGTGCACACCCAGCCTCCAACACAGACCCGGTGTCTGGTTCCCGGCACCGCTGGCCCCTAACATCACCAGCACAGGTGCTCTGAGTCACATGCGTTCCTGCCTCTGGGGACAGGACGCTTTACACTTGTGCAGGTGGCATCCCCCTGGCACATCCCCACACCTTCGGAATCCTGAGCACCTTGCAGGTCTGTGGGTAGCGCCCATTGATTTAGTTCACCTCCTTTCGTGAGGCTTCTAGAAGGGCCACTGAGGTGGGCAGCCTATGCGAGTTGGGGACTTCCTGTCGGCAGCAACTGAGTGCCGTGTGCTCGTCATCTGCTCTTTGACCCTGGTTGTGTTTGGGGAGCTGGTGGGCAGTGGGAGCCGGGAAGCCTTCTTTCTCCTCCGCATTCTTGGAAAGACCAGTGCCCACATTCCTGGCCCTCATTTGTGGGCAGGCGTCCGTCCCAGGAATGGGAAAGCAAGTTCCAGCCATGGGGAGCGAGCAGAGGACTGGGGAGGCTGGCCTTTGCTTGGGGGGCGGGCCCTGGGAGAGTCCTGGGAAGGTTACTGACTCCATGGAGGCTGAAGGGCATTGTGCCTTTCTTTCTTTTTTGTAAGTTTGGAGATTTTAAAAATAGGTATGTATTTATTTGACTGTGCCAGATCTTAGTTGCGGCGTGCAGGATCTCTGGTCTTCCTTGCAGCACACAACACGTCAACTTCTAGTTGTGGCATGCAGGCTCTGCTTCCCTGACCAGGGATCAAACGTGGGCCTCTGCATCGCGAGCATGAAGCCTTAGCCAGGGAAGTCCAGGCATTGTCCCTTTCGGTTGCATTCGGAGGATGAAGTGATACATTTAGGGCCTCCTAAACTCTTATTTATTTTTTTACTTTAGTGTTGTTGTTTAGTTGCTAAATTGTGTCTGACTCTTTTGAGACTCCGTGGACGGTAGCCCTCCAGGCGCCTCTGTCCATGGGATTTCCCAGGCAGGGATACTGGAGTGGGTTGCCATTTCCTTCTCCATAAACTCTTCATTTATTGATGCATTTCTGCAAAAGCTTTCCAAGAGGAAATAGCAAAGGGGACAGTGGCCAGGAGGTAGGGGGTGAAGGGGAATAAGTGGGAACCATAGGGACTGAGCCACAGAGGACCTCGTGTACTGTGAGGCCCTGAAGGTCCTGGCTGGTTTCACACAGGGCCTGAGAAGGCTCCAAGGACCTTGAGTTTTGTTCTGTTTTTTGGGGTGAAGTTCACATAACATAAAATTCACTATTTTAAAGTGTATAATTCAGTGGCATTTAGTGCTTTTACAGTGTTGTGCAACCGTCGTGTCTTTCTGGTTCCAGAACATTTTCATCACCCCAAAGGGAACCCTGGGTGGGCAGTCACCCCACACCCTCCACTCCCAGCCCCTGGCAACCACTGATCTGCTTTCTGTCTGTGGATTTCTGGACATTTCATATAAATGGAATCATGCAACATGCGACCTTTTGTGTCTGGCTTCTTTCACTTAGCCTGAGCTCTTCAAGTTTCTTCCCTTTTGTAGCCTGAGTCAGCTTCATTCTTTGTCACGACCGAGTAGTGTTTCATTATATGCATACACCACATTTCGTTTATCCATTCATCCACTGGTGGGCATTTGGGTTGTGGCCACCCCTCTCCTTTTCAAAACTTTATTTTTATTATAAGACAGCCTTTGTCTTGTGCATCCTCATTTTGATGGGATGTGCCAGAATGTGTCTTCCTTCTCCCATCCCCCCAGCAAGCTGCCCCCACAGGTAAATCCATCTTCTGGAGGGCAGTTATGCTTGGTTTTATGGCTTCTTTATATTGGCCCCAGGGTGACAGGAAGATCCCATGCAACCTCCTGTTTCCTTGCCTCGGGTTCATCCTTCTGTGTCCTCCTACAGCCCTGGGGCCATGAGGTTGGGGCGCCCCAGTTGGTCCAGTGATCAGAACTCCATGCTCCCGCTGGAGGGGGCCCGAGTTTGATCCCTGGTCCGAGCAGGCCAATGGCTACAGGAAGCAGATTAATGGTGACTAGGGGCTGGGGGAGGGGGTTGGGGAGGTGACTGGTAATGGGTACGGGTCTCCTTTCGCCTTGCTGATAGACGTGATGGTTGAATAACTTTGTGAGTGGATTTTACGCCACTGAATTGTATACTGCAAAATGATGAATGATGTGTGAGCCTCAGCTCAGTTAAATCAGAAAGGAAAGGGTGTGTGGGAGCCCCTGTGGGTCTTGCACGATACCTCGCCTGTCTCACAGGCGACACATGGAGTCTGCGCGTGCCTCCGCTGCCAAGGCCAGCCCGCGGGCAGGTGGCACTCACCACTGGGACCCAGGTCCGGCTTCCGCTTCGGGGACGGGCTCTGGCAACTTCACCTCCACCCAGGGCCGCTTCCTGCCAAGCCTGCTCAGGGCCCCTGGGTGGAGAGCAGATGGCGCCCCGGCCTCTCAGCTGCCTGCCCACCTCTGCTCCCCCACAGCATGGCTGACAAGAACGGGGCCCTCAAGTGCACCTTCTCGGCCCCTGGCCACAGCACCAGCCTCCTGCAGGGCCTCGCTGCGCTCCGTGCCCAGGGCCAGCTCCTGGACGTCGTGCTCACCGTCAACCGAGAGACCTTCCACGCGCACAAGGTAGTCCTGGCCGCCTGCAGCGACTACTTCAGGTGCGCGCGCGGGCCCCGGGGTGGAGTGGGCGGCACCGCCCGTCCAAGAGGGACGATCCCAGGGCTGTGCCTCCAGTTGCGTCCAGCCCAGGATGGCGTTGAGGGAAAGGCCGAAGTTTGCTCATTTCTGGGTTTAGAGAGAAGCCAAATGTCCAGTAAGCCCGCAGGTTTTTCCAGGTTTGCTGCTTATTCAAACTTGGGGGACATAGAGCAGACAAGCCGAGCGTGCCTGGGGCAGAGGTGGGAGCCCGCTTAGCAGCTTCTGCCCTGCGGAGGGGGCAGGGCGCCTCTGGGTTTCATTCTGTCTTTCTTTGATACCCGCTTGTGCCTAATGCTGTTCTGGGCCTTGGGAATTTGGCGGTGATCAGCAGGCATGAATCCTGCCCTTGCGAGCCTGTGTGCAGGCTGGGGGTGGTAGGTATGCCTAGTCGGCAGCCCTTGAGGGTTCCGGGGTCCATCCAAGACACCGTATTATGAGCGAGGCCTTGCTGGGTGTCCGGGTCTCTCTGCCCCAAAGACTCTTTCCTGAAAATCTGGGCTGGGCAGGGGAGTGAGGGTCCCACCCAACCATTCTCACCCGTGGGAAGCTGTCACAGCTCGGGAACAATCTCCCTCATTCCCTTAGTGAGCAGCTGGTCAGCTTCCTCCTGCCAATTGAGAGAGCTGGGGTGCCGCCTGGGGGTGGTTCTAAAGCCCACTTTGCTGGCTGTCTCTGAGTCCCAGCCCATGTGCCCACCCTGGGCCTCACGGTCCTTGAAACTGGGGTGCCTTGCCTGGTGCGCCCCCTGGCTGCCCGCCTCATGGGCTCAGAGAGGCCGTTCTGGGGAGCTGGAGCAGCCAAGCCATCTGGGGCGCCGCTTCTATTTTTATTCTGGATTTGGGGACGGGCGGGCCGGCCGAGCCAGAAATGCCCTTTAAAGGCTCCTCTGCGCTGGCACTGCAGTCGGAGAGGCCTTAAAAGGCAACGCTCCCTCCCATCGCCGTGATCACTTCTGCCTTCGATGGGCTGATGGGACTCGTGGGGACAAGAAGAAGCGGGTTCTGGGGGCTGGTGGAGCGCTGCTGCCAAGGTTGGGCAGTGGTTGGTTGGTGGTGCCCCGGCTGCCCCCAGCTCTGCTATCCCTGCTCCGGGCCTGAGCTGGGCCCACCCAGCGGGTGACTCGGGGATGCAGTTCCGCCAGGCGGTGTCTGAAGTTCTCCCCTCAGGTGGCTGTCACAGATGTGTGCTGATGGGAGCTGTAACTCTGATGAGATGCCAGCTTGTCCCATGAAAGGACCCTGCCACTCTCCATCTTCTAGAACTTGCCAGGAGCCCTAAGCAGGCACTGAGGTTCTTACCCCTCTTCCTGGTAGGGGACCCTCCAGAGCCTTGGGGGGCTGGGACCCAGGGCCCGTGTGTCTCACCAGCACTCACGTGAACACTGCTTCTCGGAGCAGGAGGGCGTGGCTGACAGAGCCGGGGTCACTTGCTGCTGGGGGCGCTCACAATGGACTGGTGTTCCTTTAGGCCATTCTCAGGGGGCTTCCCTGACCACCTAGGCCTCTGGAGATGGCAGGGACCCTAGCAGAAGTTGGGCCCCAGCACTGCTGACTTCTGGGTTAGGCTGGGCAGGGCCCCTCGTGGGGAGCTGCTGTTTGTAGGAAGATACATGGCTAGGGTGCAAATTAAAAATCTTTCTTTTCCTTTCTGTGTGTCTTTGATGAACATCCGGCCTGCTTTCCCCTGACTTGTCATGCCCTGCCGGCAGTGTCCAAGGGGTGGGGGGCCAGGCCTTCCCGGGCAGCCACAAGGCCCCTCGGCTGGCCTGAGCCTCCATGCTGTGTTTCTGACCTTCAGGGCCATGTTCACGGGTGGCATGCGGGAGGCGAGCCAGGACATCATTGAGCTGAAGGGCGTGTCAGCCCGCGGCCTGAGGCACATCATCGACTTCGCCTACAGCGCCGAGGTGACTCTGGACCTGGACTGTGTGCAGGACGTGCTGGGCGCCGCCGTGTTCCTGCAGATGCTGCCCGTGGTGGAGCTGTGCGAGGAGTTCCTCAAGGCCGCCATGAGCGTCGAGACCTGCCTGCACATCGGACACATGGCCACCACCTTCAGCCTGGCCTCGCTGAAAGAATCAGTGGACGCCTTCACCTTCCGGCACTTCCTGCAGATAGCCGAGGAGGAGGACTTCCTGCACCTGCCGCTCGAGCGCCTGGTCTTTTTCCTGCAGAGCAACCGGCTGCAGAGCTGCGCCGAGATCGACCTGTTCCGGGCGGCCGTGCGCTGGCTGCAGCACGACCCAGCCCGGCGCCTGCGTGCCAGCCACGTGCTCTGCCACATCCGCTTCCCGCTCATGCGGTCCTCGGACCTGGTGGACAGCGTGCAGACGCTGGACATCATGGTGGAGGATGTGCTGTGCCGCCAGTACCTGCTAGAGGCTTTCAACTACCAGGTGCTCCCCTTTCGGCAGCACGAGATGCAGTCGTCGCGCACCGCCGTGCGTTCAGACGTGCCCTCGCTGGTGGCCTTTGGCGGCACCCCGTATACCGACAGCGACCGTTCCGTCAGCAGCAAGGTGTACCAGCTGCCCGAGCCGGGCGCCCGCCACTTCCGGGAGCTGACGGAGATGGAGGTGGGCTGCAGCCACACGTGCGTGGCGGTGCTGGACAACTTCGTGTATGTGGCCGGGGGCCAGCACCTGCAGTACCGCAGTGGCGAGGGTGCCGTGGACGCCTGCTACCGCTACGACCCCCACCTCAACCGCTGGCTGCGCCTGCAGGCCATGCAGGAGAGCCGCATCCAGTTCCAGCTGAACGTGCTGTGCGGCATGGTGTACGCCACGGGCGGCCGCAACCGGGCCGGCAGCCTGGCCTCGGTGGAGCGGTACTGCCCGCGGCGCAACGAGTGGGGCTATGCCTGCTCGCTCAAGCGCCGCACGTGGGGCCACGCGGGCGCCGTGGCGGGGGGCCGCCTGTACATCTCTGGCGGCTATGGCATCTCGGTGGAGGACAAGAAGGCCCTGCACTGCTACGACCCCGAGGCCGACCAGTGGGAGTTCAAGGCGCCCATGAGCGAGCCCCGAGTGCTCCACGCCATGGTGGGTGCCGGCGGCCGCATCTACGCTCTCGGCGGCCGCATGGACCACGTGGACCGCTGCTTTGACGTGCTGGCCGTGGAGTACTACGTGCCCGAGACGGACCAGTGGACCAGCGTCACCCCTATGCGGGCCGGCCAGTCCGAGGCTGGCTGCTGCCTGCTGGACAGGAAGATTTACATTGTCGGGGGCTACAACTGGCGCCTCAACAACGTGACGGGCATCGTGCAGGTGTACAACACCGAGACGGACGAGTGGGAGCGCGACCTGCACTTTCCCGAGTCCTTTGCCGGCATCGCCTGTGCCCCCGTGCTGCTGCCCCGGGCCGGGGCCCGCAGGTAGCTCCCCGGACCCCAGTCACCGGCTTGGCCGCCTGCTGTTTCCGCCAGGGGCTTGGTGGGCGCATGTCCCAGCAGAGAACTGGGACACCCCACCCCTGGGCTGGCCTCCTGGGGCCTGCGCGTGGCTACGGCACCCCCTGCGCCCCTGCTTCCTTCCTGAAGCAGACTGTGGCCCCACACCCTCGGGGAGAGCCTGCCAGCAGCAAGGCTGATGTGCTGCGGCAGTCGGCTCACACCGAGGCGGTTCCCTCGCCCACCTCGTGTCCTCACGGGCGGGTGGGCGGAGGGGCCTCCTTCAGAGCGTGTGGCTTTGTCTCCTCTCTCTGCTCCCTCTGCCTGGGGGTCTGAGACATTCAGAGTGAACTCATTTTGATCCTCCAATTCCCCCCCACCCCTTCTGAGTTGCATGTGTCTTTTTTAAAAAAACGCACCCCAGATCTCTGTGACACACAGGAGCAGGAGAGGCGGCTGGGAGCTGCCTGACTCGGGGCGGCCAGAAGGGCATGTTTCTGCCTCCCCAGTGAGCCCGAGCTGCTGAGTCGGAGGGGACCAATGCTCATCTCCATTCCTGACCTGGGTCCTGGCACCTTCAGGGTGTGCGATTGTCTGCTTTCAGCATGGAAAAACACAGCCACCTCCCAGAGATGGTCCTTAGGGGCCTTAGGCCTTCCGTTTGGCTCTGGGTGACGGGTAGGGCCGTAACAAGAACGGGACTGAGGCTCCTTGTCCCCGGCCCTGTCCCACGAATGGACGGGGACACTGGCTTCAGAATCTCACAGCACATCTGCACCCCACAGGCCTGTCCTGAGGTTTCATTTCTGCCCCTTCTAGCCCTCTGCTCCCCCAGCCCCGCCTTGTGAGCAGGCTGACGTGCCGTCGGGCCTGTGCCCACTCGGTGCGGGAAGTCAGGCTGCTCCCTGCAAGGGACTTGCGGCATCTGTGGCCACGTTTGCTCTGGAGTCTAAACCTCAAAACCTTTTTTTTTGTTTGGTTTTCTTTTGCTTTTTCTTAAGAGGCCAGCACCGCTGTCTTATAAACGAGATTTGTACCCTCGGGGCAACTTAAAGTGTCTCTTCTGCTGCTAATGGACGATTGATGTCGCGTCTCTGTGACCCTCGCACCATGTGAAGAATTAACCTCAGACCTTAGCAGACGTCGTCGCCTATTTTCCTTATATTTAATAAAAATGTTATGGTAAAAAGATGGAGTGGGCCCAGTGCTGAGCTTGTGGGGCATGATGGCTCGCAGATTGCTCATGCCCTTGCACGTCTGGGGGCTCCTCTCCCCCCCCTCCCCCTTTTCCAGCCTTGCAGAGGAGCAGGACCAGCCTTTGGCTCAGAGCTGTGGGGGCAGTGGGCTTCCCAGGCGGTGCAGTGGTAGAGAACGCGCCTGCCGATGCAGGACATGTGGGAGATGCGGGTTTGATCCCTGTTGGGAAGATCCTTGGAGGAGGAAATGGAAACCTGCTCCAGGATTCTCGCCTGGAGAATCCCATGGACAGAGGCTGCCGGGAGGGCTATAGTCTTTGGGGTCGCAGAGTGGGACACGACTGAGCGGATGTGTGCGTGCGGATGTGGGTGTGCAGCCAGGACTTCCACTGCGTAGTGGGGAAGATAGGGGAAACCCGGCCCAGGAGGGCCGGCCTTGGAGAGACTCTTTCCAAGTTGCTCCTTGTGCCTGGTGGCCCAGCCCCCTGCCATCAGCCAGCCCCAGAGCTCCTGGCAGGTTCTGTTTCCATCTACTCAGTCTCAGGACCCCAGGGTGGGCAGCCAGGAGCCCTCTCCCCAGAGGCTGGGATAGGGGAGAAGCAGGGCGGGTCCTCAAGGAACGATGTAGTCACTGTGCTTTCATAGGGGCCCCGGAACTCCATGAATTGCCCCCAGTCCCAGCTCCTGTCCCAAGCCTCGCTGCCCACTGCTGCACTGTGGAGAATGTAGGCTTCCGACAGCCTTCTGAAAGGGCTGGCTTCTGGGATCACCCTCAAAATGTACCCACAGGCCTGGTGCTCCTGCGCCATGGCCATCAGGGTCCGCGGGTGAAGCTGGGTCTGTGCAGGGGCTGGGGGTCAGGGTTGAAATAGAAGGTTGATTGGGAACCTGTAATGAGTCCACACTGCCAGCGGCGTAGAAATGAAAAGCGCAGCCCTTGGGGATTTACCAGAACATTCTAGCCCTTTCTCATCCCCACCCCCCAACCTGAGCTTCCCCCGAAGAGAACCCTTCCTTGTTAGAGGCACGGCCCCTTCAGGGGGGCAGGGAGAAGCCTTTGCCAGCTGCAAGTCCCCCCTAGCTCAGCTCACACCTTAGAACATCTTGTCCCCAATGAGCTGGCAGGGGTGCCGGCACGGAGCAGGGGGTGGGGTGGGGGGCTGCCGTATCTAACCGGGTCGATTGTGCATAACCGTCTGGGCTGGTTCATGGAATGTTCCGGGGGCCCCCTGCCCCTCCCTCTCCACACCCACCCACAGACCCCCCCATCCCCAAAGAAAGGAAAATTATTTTTCGTATTGTAAACTTTAAACACGAAAAAGCTGTTTTTAATTTAGCAGAAACTGGCTTGAGTCTTCACTGTGCACATTTGCGTCCTTCAGAGAGGCGGAACATGCGTGCACATAGGCACGCAGACCCTCACATGCACACCTGCACGCAGGCATCTGACACACTCACCCACGTGGTCACGCTCACGCCCACAGGTAGCCTGGCTCCTAGGCTTGTGCATGCACCCACGTGCTCGCTCATGCACAGTTACACACACACTCCAGGACCAGCCTGACTCCTCCACACAGCACCGTGCAGAGGTCTGGAGCTCATCACCCCATCACCTCCTTCACCTTTCGCCCAGGGCAGCTCGGGCACGTAGGGACTGAGTGTGTGGAGATCCCCTCGGCTTCCAGATGTCATGCTTCCCCGCCGTGGCCCTGGACGCGGCCGGCAGGAGCCTCCCTCCGCACCTGGGCTCGGGCTGTGGGAAAACGCCCTCTCCCGGGACGGTGGGATGGAGGCCCGAGAGAGGGAGGCCAAGTGTGACTTCTGGGGCCTCACAGTGAGCGAGGGCCAAGGGGGCCTCGGGGGAGCCGCGTGAGGTGGGAATCTGCCCCAGACCTGGCTAGCTTGGAAACCCGCCCCTGGCTTCATCTCTGAGAACACAACCCCAGCTCCTCTGTTCTCACGGGCCCCGGAGAGTTTGCTTCTCATGGAGGAGCCTCGGCGCACGGGTTTTATTAGGGGCACCTGGCCATGTGTCCCGAGAGGCACAGCCTGAACGTTTGTTGCGCAAATGAGAGCTTTGGGGGTGGGGAGGTAGGAGCAGCGCCTAACCGGCTCCAGCATCCACGGGCACGACTGGCCTACAGACCCCAAGGGCAAGAGGGCCACGAAAGCATGCTGCTGCCCACAACAGAGGCCCCGCTCAGTTCCTGTGTCTGACCCTGCTTGTTGCCAGCCTGGTGGCCATGTCACCCCCTCACCAGCAGGGCCATGATTTGGTGCCCAGCCTCAGGGGTTAATTTAGGATTTAGCTGAGCCATTCTTGGCAACGTCTTTTGTGGGGGTTGTTGTCGATCTGGGCACACTTCCCAGTTCTGGCCACAAGTTTTAAGGGGAAGTCTGGGGTGGGGGTTTCTGGACACAGAAGTGCTGTTGCCCCCCCCCCTCCCTTATTATTTCCTACAAGGACACAATGCCAGGAGCTTCTGCAGCCATCTTGTGGCCATGAGGAGCAAGTTAAGACACACACAGAAATGCTGCCTCCCAGAGCCCTGAAATCATGGGGGCACCAGTCCCACCCTGGAACCTCTAACCTCCAGACTTCTTTTTATGAGAAATCACAGTGTCTGTGTTGCTTAAGATACTAGTGGTCAGATATTCTGATAATTGTAATTCAAACAGTTCCAAAATTATAAGTGTAACAGATGCTGGGGTTTCCCCATCTTATGTAAGTCAAGGTTTTAATTTGCAAGTAACAAAACACTGGCCAATTTAAATAGCAAGGACGTGCATTGGAATGCTGTTCAGTTCCTCACAAAAGTGGCAGGAAGGCTGGAAAACCAGGCTCAGAAAATGGTAGAAATCAAGGCGGCGAGGGCGATCAGCTGAAATCATGCCATGAAGCTGGTTGGTGAGGTCACTCCTCCCCCCACCACAGAATCCAGATGCCTCAACTGGCACTGCCACTCTGCCATAGCTGCCCGGACACCAGGTGCCCCTGCCCCAGTGCTGTTTCTTTCCATCGCTTGGAGACGTGCTGTTGGTCCCACCCAGGTCCTGTTCCAATGCATTNATCGCTTGGAGACGTGCTGTTGGTCCCACCCAGGTCCTGTTCCAATGCATTAGCTGCCCGGGGGTAGGGAAAGTTAATACATCAGTGTGTTAGTCAGCTACTGCTGCTGAGTAACGAGCAAGCCCAACTCCCAATGGCATGCAAAAATAAATATGTTTCCTATATCTGTGACCTAGCTTGAGGGCAGGGTGTCTGTTCTGGGCTTCCCTTGGCTGGGCAGCTCTGCTTCCAAGTGCAAGACTGTGGAGTAACTGGGATGCTAAACTTCACCCGCCTTGCATCCTCCTGAGACCAACACCTCGTTAACCTATGTTCTCCTCCTGCAGTGGCGCCAGAGGACAAGTGGGATCAGGTGAGGCCTCCTTAGACCCAAATTCAGAACTCTTGTGCTGTCACTTCTACCCATATTCCTTTGGCCAAAGCAAATAATGTGGCCAAGGTCAAAATCAGGGTTGGAGAAACATCCCCCATCTTGTGCAGGAGGGATGCACAGTGGTGTGGCAAAGGGCAGCAGAACATAGAAACAAATGGGAAACAGAGGCCTGTCATTTGATTGATCATACCATTGGCTTTAAACATTCTTTGCAATTCTATGGTGCTTTCAAACTGTGGTTCTGGAGAAGACTCTTGAGAGTCCCTTGGATAGCAAGGAGTCAATCCTAAAGGAAATCAACCCTGAATATTCATTGGAATGACTGATGCTGAAGCTGAAGCTTCAATATTTTGGCCACCTGTTACAAAGAGCCAACTCACTGGAAAAACCCTGATGCTGGGAAAGATTGAGGGCAGGAGTAGAAGGGGGTGACAGAGGATGAGATGGTTACATGGCATCACCGACTCAATGGATGTGAGTTTGAGCAAGCTCAGAGAGATAGTGAAGGCCAGGGAAGACTGGCATGCCGCAGTCCTCTGGGTCGCAGAGTTGGACACGACTAAGCGATTGAACAACAGCCATTGGCTTCGGAGCCTCTGTTGTCCGGGGTGGGGTGGGGGGTACCAAATCCCTTTGATGGAGACTCCCCAGCCTCCAGATGCTGGGCTACCGGAAAGAAAAGTCAGCTGTATCTCTTCTGCAGACACTATCCCTGAGAAGTTGGGGAACCCTCCTCTTTTACTGCTGAGTAGATTGGGGCCATAAGTGTCCTGAGCTTCTGGACAGTGGAGGGGGTGCTCTGTGTGGGGAGTTCAGCTGGAGCTCACCCAAGCCTCAGGGCACTGTGGGGTCGCTGCCCCAGATATCCCTTCAGCATGGTGGTTACAGCAGGGACTGGACTGCTAGCTCTCCTCCTGCCCCACCATGCCCTAGAGCCATCCCCCTGGGTCCCTGCCACTCCCCAACTCCAGCCTTCTCAGCAGCCCGCCCTGCCCTGCCTTCCACCCCTCAGCCTGGGGTGGGAGGCCGAGAGGCCTGGGTTCTCATCTAACCTCTTATTCAATTGAGTAAGGAGCGAGCTCCATGTCTGACGTTTCTGACTTCCATCACATTCTTCCCTTTTGCTTCATAATCAAACCTGGCTCCTGCTTCGCTTTTCAAATCTGTCTGAGGAGGGCCCGGTTTGGAAGTCAAAGACGGACCCTGGATGGTTTTCCTCTTTGCCGTCCCGCTCCAAATGGCCTGAGTCCACCTTCAGCAATGTGGGTACCCCAGATTGACTAAGATTCCATATAAGGCAGTGCAGAAAAGCAAGCCATGAAAACTAACATCTCGAGGTAGGGTTTTGCTTCCCTAACAGTGACTGAATGCTCGCAAGGAAGCAGGCACTGGGCTAAGTGCTTTACATGCATTATCTATTTAATCTTCCCGAGAACCTACTCTTGATGCCGAAAGCTCAGCTTCTCTATCACCAGTGCCGAGTTGAATCTCCAAGAGAGTTTTAGGTAAAGTAGAAAAGGAGAGCTTTATTACTTTGCCAAGCAAAGGGGGA